ATCTTAAGTAACTGAGCTCTGAACCCAACAAGCCGGTCTATGATAAACCAAAGAGTTAACTTTCTAATGTTCTCTATCAGTTTTTACTTATTAGACATGCATAGGACAATTTTAATGTAAATGAAAACCAGGTTTAAAAAGATGCTCTTGCTGCCTGGCTGGCGTGGCTCAGTGGTTGAGTGTCGACCTATGAACAGAAGGTCACAGTTCAATTCCCGGTCAGGGCACATGGCCGGATTGCAGGCTCGATCCCCAGTAGGGGGCGTGCAGGAGGCAGCCAATCAATGATTCTCTCTCATCATGGATGTTTCTATCTTTCTCTCCTTCTCCCTTCCTCTCTGAAATCAATAAAAATATATTAAAAAAATTATCTTGCTAAAGGTTAATACTGTCAGCTTTAGCACAAAGTTAGACATTCAAGTCTAAATTTCTTTGCTTGAATAAGAGACTGATACATTTGAATTAATCAAGCTGGCCACATGAGGTCTCTGTCATTCCACAAAATGCAGATGAATTTTAGAAGTGCCTTGCAAGTCAGAGAATTTCTCATGAAGTATAAGCACTAAAAATGATGAAGATCTAGTTTACTTCTAGTTTAAATAAACTATTTCTAGTTTATTATTCTGGAATAATATATTTGGCTGGAAGAAAAGAGAAATGGGAATGAAGCTGAAGCTAGGGATAATAAAACTGAACAGACTGTAGTCCACTAACTAGCATAAACCAGGTGTTTCAATATGAGATTTACTAAACTAGAAAGATTTAAAAAATAGTAAAACAGCTACTTGGCTATCTAAATAATGTATCTAAATACCAAATTAGATTATTTAAATTAAATATACTGCTGGAATTCTTGAAGTAAATGTAGTTACTCATTACATCTATAAGTAAATTTCAAAACAGTGATGTGAAATGTGAGCAATGTGTCACTCTTGGGCGTGGATATAATGAAGCCCTACATTCTCCTACAATCATTACCAGCAGTGTAAAGCCCCATGATACAAACTCTGATTTACCTAGTCAATAATCTCAACAGTTTCTCACTTAAGCAACATCAAAGTGTTTGCTATCATTCAACCTCATTTAAACATGTTTGCAAAAAAATCAAAAATCAAATCAGAAATAAAGAGGAAAAGTCCCACACCTAAATAAAGTAAAAGATAAAATTAAAATAAGCGGATGTAACAAAACAAAACTACTGGTACTATCAGGGAAAAACAAGAACAAAAAAGTCACTGAGTTCCCTCCAAATATGGAATCTAAATGAATGAAAAAAATGACAAAGCATCATAAAAATAAATCGTGGAGGGCAGCAGAACTTCATTTGGTTAATGTTTTTAAAGTGCCAGAATTCACAGAGAGCAAAATTCAGGTTTTAAATTTAGAAACTCTTATCAAGTTCAAGTTCTTCCCTATCAACTCTTTGATTTGTACTTGTTTTCACAAAATGAGATTCAATTGGCTACCATATTAGTGATATTAATATTTTATATTCTAGACTGTCACTCAGAAAAATCATTTTATGAAACTGTACAAGTATGTAAGTAAATTCTATGTGCTCATCTGTAAAGTCAATTGGTTATTCTGCAGCTACACAAATTTTGGTACTTACTAAATTATATATTTTTCACAAGGTAAGGTACAGATCTAATTGTTTAATAAATCACTATACTGATTGCTTTGGGAAGCTTGGAAAGCTAAGAAGCCCAAGATTCAAGCCTAGAGCTAGGAAAAATAGATTTCTGTCCATCCCCAAAAGAAGTAAAATCATGCAATACAGAGTGAAGATGGATCTCCAAGTCTCATTCCTATATATGAGACTTTTCGAAAGTGCAACTCAATTTCTTCTCTTTCTTTGGTGAGACCTAATCTTGCTACTCAAGTACATACTGAATTCCATAAAGTCATTCACTTTTAAGAGCCATTGGACTGATGAACATTCATTATACTTAGTCTGCTTTAAGCATGGCGGGTATCAGTTGCACACAGCACACTTTTTTTTAAAATACAACTTGTTTTTAACACAGCATACTTTTGAGCAAATGTAATAAGCACTGGTCAGGTGTAGGTTTCCTATATTGCATTCCATAGCACCTCATGGAACAATAAATATCTCCACCCCCCCATAAAAAATAGACAAACCTATCTGCCTTTTTCTTTTTTAGTTTAATGAAAAAGTATTTGCACCATTTTTCTTTTCCTTCATTTAAAAAAGCCTAGTCTATGTGCTTAGTGAAATGCCTGTCAGTTGTATTCCACTGGACAACTACACTCCATCATTCTTTAAAATATCAGTATGCAGAAGCAGATGTGCGGAGCCAATGTGTCTGGATCAACAAAGCAGAGCTCTGGACACCCATCCTCCCAAATGAAAATGCTACGGATTGATAGCACAGGAAGTAATGGAAGCCCTGAGTCTGTGCAGCTCTATCAGAGGGGAAAGTCATTTTCTTCCAAAACTGCCACAAAGATATCAATGAACATATTAATCACTTCTAGAATCCTCCTGCTGGTAACTTTTATAATGGCTCTTAAAGGTTCTGAACGATACTCTTCTGTTTAAGTTTCTGTGACTCAAAGCTTATTAATATCCATCATAAAAACACTACAGACCAATCTCAGATAAGTGCCTGGACCAATCTTGGGTTTCATTTTTCAGTTCTATGAAGAGGAACATAAATTTGAGCCCTCTGTTTCTCCTATTGCTTAATGTAATACAAGACTCTAGTCAACAGAGACATATACACATCACTTTAACATACATCAGTTGCCCTATAGAACTATATACTGTTAAGAATGAAGAGGTAAACAAGTGACACCACCTACAAGCAGCTGTGTGATGCAAGGTAAAATGAAATGGGAAGGGAGGAGAAAGAAGAAGGTCACACAACCCAACAACACAATCCCAATTCTTATAGCACTGGGTCTGTTAATAGTGCTTACTTGCCCTAATTTTATAAAAATGAAATAAAAATCAGGAAAGGGTAAACTACCTGATTATTATTTTTTATACTCATTAATTTTTAAAAGTTAAAGTAAAAAATATATATATATTTAAATGGAAAGTATACCAATTTCACTTTATTATTAACTTAACTGAGGAATGGGATGAGGAGAATGGGGCTGAGGTCAGGTATGAAGAAAGAGGGTTAGAACTTGTGATGGTAAAGATCCCTTCGGGATTCTGGTGCAGTCCTCAGTCACTGCGGCCTGTCGGTCAGTAGAGTTGAAATCCAGAATACTGAAAGCAGATTCCTGGTCTCCATTTCTGTCCAGTGACTCTTCAGTTACAGTGTGATGAGGTCCACCAGGTTGCCTTTAGGAGGAGTCATGCTGTCAGGAAAGAAATTTACTAAGGTGTCAAAGAGCTGAGTTCTTTGAGCATAGGTATGATCCACATCTGAAAAGCCTGTGAAGGAGAGATACAAAGAAATTCATCCGTTGTGTTTAAAACTCAACACATAACAGAAAAGCCGGCTGAGAAAAGCAGCAATGTATAATGGAAAAACCAAAACCAAAACCGGCTTTAAAACTAGAGCGATGGGTCCTGACCCCTTTCTGACTAGCTGGTAGCATTTTCAACGACTGATGTGAAAAGAACCTAGCCAAATAACCAGCACTTTAGTAACTATAGTGATTTAGTAACAATAGTGATTTCTCTTCCTTATCCTGCAAGCATTTTCCTCTTCTAGTCCACTGAGGATTATTTCACTCCTTTTCTGACTTTTATTTATTTGTATTAGTATGTATTCATGGATCCTTTCCTTGTTCAATGTTATATTCATTGGTATCATTTTAATACTCATGTGGTCCCAGATTTGTCCAGTGAGAACTCTTTCAAGCTCCTGTCTTTCTGAAATATCCCGGTTAATTTCTAGCACTTCCTTACTTTCTGCTAGATATCCAAGCTTATCTTTACACAGCTCTGGAGTTAGCTATTTTTCCATGGAGCTCTAATTCCTTTTAGTGGTGAAGGATATTTAGAAACCAGATCAGTTGTACTAATTACCAAGGGTTTTATTGTTTTCAAGCCTGTACATATATGTACACACATTATGGTGTATACATAGCATATTTTTTCTTTAACAGAATCATGAGTTCATGTTTTTATTGCTAATTCCAATTTTTTAAGAACCTCCACAGGATTCTTCCTTTCCTTATCCCATTCTATATTTATATCTCCTTTCTCCCACTAAGAAAACCAACTCCCAGCAACATCATCATATTTACTCATTTGATCAACCTAATACACAAAAAAAATGTTCCAGAATTACTATACCCATACTACTACCAGCAAAAACTCAAACGATTCTTTGCTTTTGTCTTTAGAGTATATCTGCAAGTGTATAGTCTAAACACTGTACTAAAAAGATTTAATTTCCTCCCCTTTGCCCCTACTGCATGGTAATGTTACTAATTTGATAGACGGGCTTGTTTGTTTCTCTTTGAATTCAACATTAGGGTTTTTCCCTTGTTTTCTTTATTTGTGAAAATGTTGTGGTATTGATTCTGTGACAGTACTCTAATGAAGTAATACAATTTTCATGAGATCAAATGATTTAGGAGGGAAGAAACACTAAGTTCCTACTGTGTGCTAGGTGTTTCTGTATGACTGCATTGCATTGTCATAAAAAACAACGAAGCAGTTATCATAAACTCCACTTTCAAATAGGAAAACTTAGAGAAATTGAGTAATTTAATAAGGTTCCACAGCTGGTAAGGGAAGAGAATGGAATGTGAATCCATGTCTATCTGACTCCAAAGCCCATTTATTTTTATTAACGAACTAGAGGCCCAATGCACGAAAATTTGTGCAAAAGTAGGCCTTTCTTCCCCCGGCTGCCAGCATCGGCTTCCCTCTGGCACCCGGTACCCGGGCTGCTTTCCTCCTCCAGCTGCCCACAGGCACCCGGGACCTGGGCTGGCTTCCCTCGGCCCCAGCTTTGTCAGGAAGGACGTCCGGAATGACGTCCGGCCTAATTAGCATATTACCCTTTTATTATTATAGATTGAGTGCTTAAGTTGTAGGCAATGTGCTAAGTTCATTTACTCCTCCAAGAACATCTTTTACTTTTTCACCCTTTACCAATGAGGAAATTGAAATTATTCTTCATTAGATGAATGGTTAAATTATGGTAGACCTTTATTATAGAATACTATGTGTCACTAATAAGAATATAATAGAGCTATTGTAGTTTCATGCAAACATCTTCAAGTTACATCATTAAATTTTAAATTTACAATGCAAAATACATTTTTTATATTATACAATAAAACCAGAACACCAAAACTATGCACCTATGTGTGTACATGAATATATACAGTCAATTGTCATTACTCAGATTCATATTTGTGTGCCTGCCTACAATCCCACAATCAATACTGGTGGCACTTCACAGAGATGCTCAGAGCAGCGAAAACTTGAGTCACCACATGCACACATTCTCAGCTGAGGTCAAACTGGGTGATGCTCTGTCTTCTTGTTTCAGCTCTCATAAACAGTCTACTGGTGCCATGTTTTTTGCATTTTGTGCTTTTTTTTTGGGTGACATCACTGCTTACAAGGGCCCCCAAGTGTAGTACTGAAGTGGTGTCTTGTGTTCCTAAAAGCAAGAAGGCCATGATATGCCTTATGGGAAAAATTTGTCTGTTAAATAAATAAGCTTTGTTTAAAAATGAGTTATTAATGCTGTTGGCTATGAGTTCAATGTTAATGAATCAACAATATAAACATATAAATAAGGTATCTTTCAACAGAAACACACATAAAGCAAGGTTATGTATTGCTAGGTTGACAAAAATGTTGTGAGCAGAGCCTTGCACATGTGTATGTCCCATAGGAGGAATGGTTCAGTATTCACTAACTCAGTGTTCCTGGGGACTTTATAGAATGTAACTTCTGCAAATAATGAGAATCAACTGTATCTTGATGTCTGTGTATACAGTTGTGTGTGTTTGTGTAAAGATCTGTCCAGTATGAGTGGTTACACTTGAGGAGTGGGGACAAAGATTGAGGAAAGTTGTTCAAGGAGAATCTTAAGCTTTTATCTGTATTCAATTTTTTTAAAAATATATCAAAGAGGGGCGGGACACTAAGAAACTCATCAACAGTGACATGACTATTTAAATATCAGAGACAGGACAAAAAAAGGTTGTATTGATTCTAAATCTCATGTCTCATCCCAATCACTTTTTCTCACCACAGAATGAAATGAGGAACTAATCACTCAGAAGAGTGAAAACTGGTAAAGCTCAATGAAAGGTGGTATAGTTAGTGGTTTAGGGAATGAGCTATGAACCGAAACCACTAAGGTTTGAATCCTGGTTTTCCCACTCACTAGCACTATTCCTGGACAAGTTACTTTTTGCCTCTCTGTGTCCTAGTTTCATTGAATATAAAAAGGGATCATAAGAGTAGCTACTTCATAAGGTTAGTATGGAAATTAAATCAATTTTGTCATGTAAAGTGCTTAGAATAGTATGTGGCCCCATAGTAAGTGCTCAGTAAATACTAGCTATCACTCTATCACTATTACCATGACTGAAGATAATGACTGCTCTAAAAAGAAAGTGACCTATTAGGAATAATTTTTAAGTTAACATCCTACACAGACTAGGTAGTTTTTCCTATTTATGGTGAAGAAGTAGTAGTAGCAAAAATTCTCATTTTTTTCTGGATACAAGTTTCTTTATTTACACTTCCTAGTTCTAATAATAAATGTATCCTATCTAATAATAGACAAACATGGTAATTAACCATACCTCCGACACGCTTCCCATTGCCTAATCAGGGCGCTATGCAAATTAACTGCCAACCAAGATGGCGGCCGGCAGCCAGGCAGCTGAAGCGAACAGGAGGCTTGCTTGCTCCAGTGAAGGAGGAAGCCAAGGTTCCCCGCCTGCCTTGCCGGCCTCTGAGCTGCTCTCTAAGAAACAATGTTGCAATTATAGAAGCTAAAAAAACCCAGATACCTGCTTTCAGCAGTGAGAGCTGGAGCCAGCAGGACCGAAACAATGTTGCAATTATAGAACCCAAACAAACCCTAGATTCCTGCTTTCAGCAGCCGAGGCCTCAAACTGGAGCCAGCCTCAGAGCTAAAGCCGGCTCTCAGCTCCAGTGACAGCCATAGAAGGTAAATAAATCCCAGAATAAAAGAAAAAAAGGAGAGGTTGGGAGCTTCAGTTGCCTGCCAGCCTGAAAACGGCCCTCAGCCCCTCACCCAGACTGGCCAGGCACCCCAGTGGGGACCCCCACCCTGAAGGGGATGTGACCAGCTGCAAACAGCCATCATCCCCTCATCCAGGCTGGCTAGGCACCCAAGCAGGACACCCACCCTGATCCAGGACACCCTTCAGGGCAAACCAGCTGGCCCCCACCCGTGCACCAGGCCTCTATCCTATATAGTAAAAGGGTAATATGCCTCCTGTCACCGAGATCAGCGGAGCCGAGAAGCCTCCTGGCACCGGGATCAGTGGAGCCTCCCAGCACTGGGATCAGCGGAGCAGCGAGGCCTCCTAGCACTGGGATCAGCGGAGCCGCGAAGCCTCCTGGCCCCTGGAGCAGCGTGACGGGGGGCAGCGCCCAAACCCCCTGATCGCCCTGCGGCTCTGTGTGTGACAGGGGGCGGGGCCACAACCTCCCTATCTGCCCTGCTCTGTTCGTGACAGGGGAAGGCGCCCCAACCCCCTGATCGGACCTGCTCTGTGTGTGACAGGGTGCAGCACCCAACCCCGCCATGGGTCCTGCTCTGTGTGTGACGGGGTGGAGCCTCAACCTCCCCATCGGCCCTGTCCTGAGTGTGACGGGGGGAGTGCCCCAACCCCCTGATCGGCCCTGCTCTGTGGGTGACAGGGGGTGGTGCCCCAACTCCCCTATTGGCCCTACTCTGTGCGTGACAGGGGGGAGCTCCCCAACCCCCTGATCGGCCCTGCTCTGTGTGTGACAGGGTACAGAGCCCCAACCCCTCTGATGGGCCCTACTCTGTGTGTGACATGGGGCAGCGCCCCAACCCCCTGATCGGCCCTGCTCTGTGCATGACAAGGGGTGGCACCGCAACCTCCCCATCGACCCTGCCTTGAGTGTGACAGGGGGTGGCACCCCAACCCCCCTATCAGCCCTACCCTGAGCGTGACTGGGGGTGGCATCGCAACCTCCCGATCTGCCCTGCTCTGTGCATGACAGGGGGCAGAGCCCCAACTCCCCAATCGGCCCTGCTCTGAGCCCGACCAGGGGCTGCACCTAGGGATTGGGCCTGCCCTCTGCCACCCGGGAGCGGGCCTAAGTCAGCAGGTCGTTATCTCCTGAGGGGTCCCAGACTGTGAGAGGGCACAAGTGGGGCTGAGGGACAACCCCCCCGCCAGTGCACAAAGTTTTGTGCACTGGGCCTCTAGTTATTATATAAAAAGCACCTGTAAACATATGAGCTACAGACAAGAGGTTGAAGCAAGTATCTTGCTGAAATCTACATTTGGTGGGCTAAAAGGACATAGCAAATTCTGTGAAATTGATAAGGCACCTTACTGACAAATGTCAGTGCCAAAAAGCACTAACTACCTACTGTATAAAATGTTTTAAATATTTATCTGAATTCATACTTGCACATCATATTTGGACTGTAAAACTTGTAAAGAGAGGTATGGAGACCAAAAAGGCATTATGTTCTATAGACCAGATTTCTCCTGTCACATACATTGTTGAAAATACACTTAACTGATCCAAAGCATACTTTCTGGAAAGAAGACATTGCTCTTAAAATTAGCAAAATGTCTGAGTTAAAGCTTAAAAGTGCCCACAGCCACCAGAAGCTCTAAACTAACGATCCCTAGAGGTTATTCTTCCCTGAAGTAATTTTTCAAAACTAAGATAATGGAAGATACTTACTTATAAATCATTATCTTTTTAATTATTTAAATTTTATATAACATTAACAAATATTTTTATTTAATTCTAAGAAATTAAGATAAACTAGATTAATTCTGAAGGGAGCCAGAGAGTTAGGCTGAAGCAAATTTCTTCTTAGAAGATTTAGAAAATGAAATATTTGGTTTATTTATCATTAAAGACACACACACACACACACACACACACTCTCTAGAGGCCCGGTGCATGAAATTCATGCACTTAGAGGGGGGGAGTCCCTCAGCTGGGCCTGAGCCCTCTTGTAGTCTGGGAGCCCTTGGGGGATGTCCCACTGATGGCCTAAGCTGTCAGTTGGACATCCTTAGCGCTGCCGTGGAGGTGGGAGAGGCTCCCGCCACTGCCACTGCACTCGCCAGCTATGAGCGTGGCTGGCTGAGCAGCACTCCCCCTGGGGATGTGTAATGACCACCAGGGGTCAGCTTCTGTGTTGAGCATCTGTCCCCCCGGTGGTCAGTGTGCATCATAGCGACCAGTTGTTCCATGGTTCGGTCAATTTGCATATTAGCCTTTTATTATATAGGATATATATATACACACGCACATCTGTACATGAAATAACCCATTTGATTTCAATTCTATGTGGAGTAAAGGTAAAACAATCGGACAGCAAGTGAATGAGAACAAAAACCAGGAACTCTAAGTAGGAATGAAACCTATAAAAGGTACTTTTGTTCATCAATTTTTATGCAAAGTATTTTTCGTTTTTAATATATCAGATTTCTCGTTATTAAAATTAGCATGCCATGTGAATTTGCTCCTCATCCAAATTCACCAATGATACAAAGATTATACATATATTTTTAAATTTTTTAAAAAATATATTTTTATTGATATCAGAGAGGAAGGGAGAGAGATAAAAACATCAATGATGAGAAAGAATCATTGATCAGCTTTCTCCTGCATGTCCCCTACTGGGGATTGAGCCCACAACCTGGGCATGTGCCCTTACCAGGAATCGAACTGTTGGACCTTCAACCACACCGCCTGGGCCAAAGATTATATTTTTAAGGGAGTTAATAACAGTACCTTAAATTGAGCACTTACTGTTTTATTTTGCTGTTTTCTATAATTATTTTACTTCTCTCAACAACATGAGGTAAGTACTCTCATTACCTCCATTTTATAGATGAATAAATTAATGATTAAGAAGGTGACTTGTTCAAGGTCACTTTTAAAATTACCAAGTGACAGAGCTGATATCTAAACCTAGATTCTAACTCTGAATCACTATACTATGTTCTCATCTCTTAACTACTAAATATACTGCCTCCCTTTAGACAAAGTAGGAAACAAAACTCCACAGGAATTTTCTTTTTGTATTTTTTCTATTGTGTTTGTATTGTTCTCAGAGCATTTGAGGTTTGTTTGAAATCCAAGTAAAACAAACTGTTTCTGACAAAATATATTAGCTGGCAGTGAACAGGGCAGAGACAGAAGAAAGGAGTTAAGCTAAAATATTTGCTGACAACAGCCTAACATATTTAAATAACTGCCAAGAAATTCTTGTTCTATAAGTCAGCCAGAGATATTTTAGTGCTGCCCATCAATAAAGTAAAAATAACAGCTCTGGACTGTACTATCTACATATAACAAGGCAAATATTCATTCGAACTGAATATCTATGTGCCAGGCTCCCAATTCATTTAGCTCTAAATCTGTTTCAAATGGTAAAATTCCTAAGGGCACGAATTTCTAAAATAATGCTTATACCTAAATTTTCCATCACAAGGTTGAGATTTCTTAACATCCTGAAAACATCTTTTTAAAAAGCCTTTATGTATCCCACCCACTGTATGGAATAGTTGCAAACAACTATCAACATTTTTAGAAGAACCTACTGGAGTCATACTTTACAGCAGCAGTCTCCCCAGTCTTGCCCTATGGAACCCGACATATTCGGGAACCAGACCTCCATACTGCAGTTGCCTTGATTAGTAGAGAAGCCTTGATTACCCATTGTGGAAAAAGAAAGGGCAACACCCCAAGGAACACTGCTATTTTTTCCCATCCCAGTGAAAAATACCAGAATTACATATGGTCTTTATTTTTTTTCCTTTGAGGTATGGTTCACCTTTAAGAGACAAAAGGACAAACAATAAAGAAAGTAAACTGATATCCCAAAGTGTTATTTTATTCCAGAGATAAAGAATTTATATTACATATACTAGAAAACTTCAATACTGTTGCTCAACTCTAAGGCACACAATAATAGCAGTGGCACCGATGAGATTAATATGCATTTACTGTGTGACTACATCTTATAATGACAAGAGAAAAGCTGGAAATTCCCATATTTCAAAAGGCTACTACCTTGCTGAAAAGTTAAGCTATAAAAATGACTTACAAAAAGATCTTTGAAAATTCACCTGACTTAAAGCTCTGGGTTCTGGAACTGCTACAAATTCCCCACTTTACTACAGTCTACTTTACTTTAATAATTTATTAATATTAAGTGAGAGTACTCTTTTTTAAAAAAATATATTTTATTGATCCTTTACAGAGAAGAAGGGAGAGAGATAGAGAGTTAGAAACATCGATGAGAGAGAAACATCGATCAGCTGCCTCCTGCACATCTCCCACTGGGGATGTGCCCGCAACCCAGGTACATGCCCTTGACCGGAATCGAACCTGGGACCTTTCAGTCCGCAGGCCGACGCTCTATCCACTGAGCCAAACCGGTTTCGGCAAGTGAGAGTACTCTTAAATGAAGATGGATGTTTAAGATTCATCAGTCTTGGTTTCTTTAAGAAATACTGAGTTTTGTCCTGGCTGGTAACTAAGCTGGTTAGAGCATAGTCCCAACACACTAAGGTTGCAGGCTCGATTCCTAGTCAGGGGCAAATACAAGAATCAACCAATGAATGTATAAATAAGTGGAACAACAAATCGCTGTTTCTCTCTCTCCTTTTCTCTCACTCTAAAATCAATTTTAAAAAAAAGAAACATTTGAGTTTCAAGTAGAATTTGTCTTGAACAATCAAGATGCCAGCATACAAAAATTCCAATTTTCAGGAAAAAGATAATTTATTTTCTCTGCTCCCAAAAGATTTATTTCATTTCCTACCCTATCACCATTCTGTTGACACCACACAACACCACAAAGAACAAACAGAGAGGAAAAATCATTCAACCAACAAGTGTTATCTCATAGTAAGTACATCAATAATACAATCTGCATTCCAAAACAATGCTATACAAATTAATTTATCTTGATCATGCTTCTATTGTCATCTGTTTGTATAATAAGGAAGCAACTGGTGGAAAAGGAAAAGCAAACTGTTTTATGAACTGGTGACTGATAACTTTGCAGTAAGTTATCAGAAATTCTGCATTCTACCTTGAAGCTTGCTCCATTGCTTAGATGAACATTAGACCCCTGATGTTTCATTTAAAAAAACCAACTCCAACCTCCCAGATGCGAGGGCACCAGGCTGAATAAACTACATGGGAATACTTACCTAGAGCTGTAAAATCAGAACCAGATTTGAATAGAGCTGAAGCAAGGAGCTGAAACTATAAAAGAAAAATAGAAGCAAATTAGCTAAGCACATTAGAGAAAAATAACTTCTCTAATTATGACTATTCATTAGCCACTGTATGCCTCTACATTTAAGTCTATTTACCAAAGAGTGGCAAGAAGAACACCACCCTATCTAATAAAAGAGAAACATGGTAATTAGCCATACATCCGCTACCCTTCCCATTGGCTAATCAGGGCGATATGCAAATTAACTGCCAGCCAAGATGGCGGCCGGCAGCCCGACCAGGGGCTGCACCTAGGGATTGGGCCTGCCCTCTGCCACCCAGGAGCGGGCCTAAGTCAGCAGGTCGTTATCTCCCGAGGGGTCCCAGACTGCAAGAGGGCACAGGCCGGGCTGAGGGACACCCCTCCCCCCCGAGTGCACAAATTTTTGTGCACCGGGCCTTTAGTATAATAATAAATAAGAATAAATTGATTCACATACAACTGTAAACCTATGTTTGCCCACCCTATATATAGTTCTTTATATATGCTGGGTCTCAATCCTCTGTCAGAAATATTTACTGCAAACATTTAGTCTATGGCTTGCCCAGTTTTTAATAATGTCTTTGAGATTTTAATTTTGTTGAAGTCCAATTTATCGAGTTTTTTCTTTTATGATTAGTGGCTTTATGTCATGTCCAAGAAATCTTTGATCTATCCCAAGGTTGTGAAGATAGTCTAATTTCTTCTTCTTTTTTTTTTTTTTAATATTTCATTGATTTTTTACAGAGAGGAAGGGAGAGAGATAGAGAGTTAGAAACATCGATGAGAGAGAAACATCGATCAGCTGCCTCTTGCACACCCCCTACTGGGGATGTGCCCGCAACCAAGGTACATGCCCTTGATCGGAATCGAACCTGGGACCCTTCAGTCCACAGGTTGATGCTCTATCCACTGAGCCAAACCGGCGAGGGCTCTTCTTGAAGTTTTTATTGTTTTGAGTTTTATATTTAGATCTGTAATCCATCTTAATTTAAATTTTTATATAAAATATGAGATAGGGGTTGAGATATCAGCACATCTGTTAAAAAGACTTTCCTTTCCCCAATGTACTTGGCACCCTGGTCAAAAAAATAAAAATAAAAACCAATGGATTCCATTGATGTGGGTCTATTTCTATACTCTATTCTGTTCTACTGATCTATCTGTCTATCATAATACAGAGTTCTGAAATCAAGTAGTATGAGATCTCCAACTTTTTGTTTTTTCAACATTGTTTTGGCTAGTGCAGGACCTTTTTGAATTTCCAAATGAATTTTAGAATTAGTTTGTCGATTTTAACGACGACGACAGAACCCAAACTTGCTGGCTTGTTTATAGGGTCCACATTAAATTAAAAACCAATATGGGGAGAATGAGCATCTTAACAATTTTTAGTCTTTCAATCCATAAATGTGATAGGTCTCTCCATTTTAGGTCTTATTTAACTTCTTACAACAGACTTATAACTACATATTTAATTATTTTTTATATTAATATAAACAGGTTTTTACATTTCCTCTTCTAATTGTTCACTGCTAAGAAATATAAGAATAATTCCTTTTTCCCCTATACGCCTTGCGTTCTGTAACCTGGCTAAATTCACTTATTGTTTTTGCAGACTGCATGGGCTTTTCTATGTACACAAAATGTCATCTACAAGTGCAAAGAATTTCACTTCTTCCTTTCCAATCTACATGCTGTTTATTTCTTTTTCTTACATGCAAATAGAGGATGTCTGTTGACACGTTTTCCATAGATGCCCTTTATGAGACTTAGAAAGCTTCTTTTTATTTCTAGTTTGCTAAGAATTTTTATCATGAATGGGTTTTTAATTTTGTCAAGTGCCCCTTTCTTCATTTATTGAGATGATCTATGGTTTTCTTCCTTTATTCTGTCAATGTGGTGAATGACTGATTTTCAAATGTGAAGCTAACCTGTGTCCTAGGATAAGCCCCTACTTGGTCATTGTGCATTAAACTTTTTATATATTGATAGATTCAAATAGCTAACATTTTATTAAGAATTTTGCATCTGTATTCATGAGGTATTGGTCTGTGATTTTCTTTGCTTGTAATATATTTGTTTTTTAATCCTCACTCAATGGATACTTTTTCCATTGATTTTTTAGAGAGTGGAAGGGAGGGAAGGAGAAAGAGAAAGTGAGAGACAGAAAGAGGGAAACATCCATGTGAGAGAGATGCTCTAGCCACTGAACCACACTGGCCAGGGCTTTTTGTTGTGTTTTTATATCAGAGTTAAGCTGCTTCATAAAAGAATTTAGAAAGTATATTGTCTTTCTCTGGTTTCTGAGAGTCTATGTGTAGAAATAGTGTTTTCTTGTAATTTAAATTGTTGATAGAATTGAATGATACAGCCATTGAGGTGTAGAGTTTTCACTATTAGTCATTTTTCAATTACAAATTCAATCTCTAATTGACATGAAGTTCCTTTAAGATTTTCTAATTCTTCTTGTATCTGCTTTGATAAGTTGTGTTTTTTAAGGAATTTGTCCATTTCATCAATTAGCAACTTGTTGACAAAGTTATTAATAATGTTTCCTTATTACCTTTTAATGTGTGTAGGATCTGTAATGATTTCCTCTTTTCATTTGTGATGTTGATAATTTATGTTTTCACTTTTTTTCCCTGTCTTCCCAGGGGTTCACCTATTTTATTCACCTTTTCAAAGAGCCAACCTTTCACTTTTAAAATCTTTTCTATTATTTGTTTCTATTTTACTAATTTCCTATCTCCTACTTATTTTGAGGGTTAATTCCCTTTTCTAACATCTAAGGTTTATTGGCTCTACATATAGAAGGATGGAAGGGGCGGGGGAAACCCTGTCGTTTAAATAATGTTATTAAATTATGGGTCTAGGATTTTAACAGGTACCAAGTGATATACAATCTGAGTAAATCCAGACCTCTCCTCCAAATTCAGACTTGAATATCTAACTACCACTTCAACATCTCAAGTTGGCTGTTGCAGAGACATCTCAAACTGAACATACCCAACATTAAATTCCTGATCCCGGTCAGGAGTCCCCACCCACTACTACAAACCAGATCTACCCAGTGCATTTTCATTTGGTTGATAATAACTCCATTCACTCAGGTAAAAAACTTTGGAGTCATTTATTCCAAATCCTATGTCCAATCCATCATAAAATTCTGTTAGTTCTATTTTTAAATATATTGAGAATCCGATCTACTTCATTTCTCACTAATTCTACGAGTACTACTTGGGTCTGAGCTACAATAATCACTTGCTTAGATTTCTACAATCTCCCCCATGAGTCTCTCTGCCTGAATCCTCATTCTCCTTCCTTCATCTATCCTCAATACAATAGAGTGATATAAAATATAGAGCAGATTATATCACTCCTCTGCACAGTACTCTGAACTAGCTTTTAATTCATTCAGAGTAAAAGCCAAAGTTCCAGCAATGGCTTACTAAATCATTCACAATCTCCAATTCCTGCTCTTACCTCTCTGACCTCATCTCTGATCACTTACCCATCTCACCTCTACTACAGCCACAATGGCCTCCTTGCTGTTCTCCTAAACAAAGTCAGAATGCACTTAGCCTTGGTTCTTTGTTCTAGCCCTCCCTTAGCCAAATTATTGTCTTAGATCACTTCCTCATATCCTTCAAGTCTTTGTGAAAATCTCTTTTCTAAACGAGGTCTATTATAATCATCCTATTTAATACAGCAACTGCCCATTTCTCACCCCTTTGCATTCTGATCTCCCTTTACCTTTTTATTCCTCTTGTGACTAGAAGAATGCCTGGCATACTGAAGGGACTCAACACACATCTGTTAAATTAATGACACCAGTACTCTGGAAGTTCAGCAGAAATTTTCTTAATAAATAATGTGCAATACTAGCTAAAACTTGCTTTTCTTGCTTTTGTTTTTTTTCTCTATTATAGAATCCTCTCAATGATGGAATTAATTTAGGCATCCTTTCCTTGGGTCTTTCCTTGGGGGAGGGGAATGTCATTTTCATAATCTTTACTAGAAGCTCATCACTAATTTAGAACCATGTTCTGGAGACTGGACAAAAGCAACGAACCATTTGGTATATAACCACTATTTCCCCAATAACATGATGATCACCATCATGATGATAAACACCCCCCCAAAAGAAAATTCTAAAAACCACTTTTAGTTGCTGTATAACTTAATATAGTGAAAATTTTATAAAGTGTACATAGAGAACAAAAATAAACTACTACATACAGAAAGTATTGGATAGCAATAAGGCCTTTCTTGATGAGTGGAATGATTTCTTAAAAGGAAAATGAAGATCTATATAGCTTACTAAAAATATTGTAAGTGTATATACTAGAACCATCATCATGAGATTTCTTTCTCCAAAACAAAATCCATTCACACATTAAAAAAATAATAATAATAATCGCCCTAGCCGGTTTGGCTCAGTGGATAGAACGTCAGCCCGTGGACTGAAGGGTCCTGGGTCCGATTCTGGTCAAGGTCACATGCCTGGGTTGTGGGCTCTATCCCCAGTGGGGGGCATACAGGAGGCAGCCGATCAGTGGTTCTCTCTCATCATTGATGTTTCTATCTCTCCCTCTCCCTTCCTCTCTGAAATCATTAAAAATAAAAAAATAATAATCTTACAAAAAATTAATGTCAGGATGTTTTCAGTTTTCTGTTACATAAGATCAGACAGAGGAATATCTCAGGGTAAGGGTATTGTTTTGAAAAAGTTCCTGAAGTGATTCGGATGCTGAAAAACACATGCACAACATCATTTTAACTAACTTCTACTAGGGCTTAACAATTCTTAATAGATAAAACTTTTAAGAAATAGAGTGGAAGTCTGTGGCATACAAAATCGTCATTTGAGACTATTAAAGAAAGGAGACAAAGAGAAATCCACAACCAAAATTTTAAAAATTGCTCTGTTTGAATCTGGGATAACTCCCCGTCCTGGTTTTCCCAATAGCTTAGCATTAAGAACAAACTGTCCGTTTTCTTTGGCCTACTTGCAGCTGAAATTATTTACTTGGCAATATTTTGGTTTGGTTTTTTAAAAATTAGAGAAAAATTAATGTTTCCAGGTTCTAGCCATTTTAGACTATGGAGAAAACAGTATCATGAATTGACTGAAGACTCAAGGAAAAACAACTAGCTATCTTCCCTTGAGAACCCCCTAAAGTATGTCCTGATGATTCTCCATCTAGTGAAGGGTTGTAACCAATACTAAGAGAAATAGAAATTATTTTCACAGTAGGCAACTATGAAAGAGTATTTCTTTGTTTTGTTGCCAAGGACAGGCGGGCTCTACTGCTTGAAAGTACAATGAACCTGGTGCCTGAAAGTGATTCGATATTAAATCTGAAACCTGTGCTGAATAGAGAAAAGCACTGCTTGATGTTGCTATTACAAAGCCAAAGCAAAGCAACAGCTAACAGAGAAATAGTTTAAGGGATAGAACTACATATAATTAGCACCAATTCTATGAGTGGAAGATAAAATGGATTATGGTTCAGATGTTACTAGATGAACTCTGAATAAGAACAGTCATCAAAAGGAAAATATGACAAAAAGAATCTCAGAAGCTAGTAGTAAAACAGGCTATAAAACCATGAAACTTGTTGCAGGTATATTCACACAAATAATAATATTAGATCTTTTGCTTCCATCCATGTTAGATCACAACAACAACAACCTGAAAAGTAATGATCTGCTATTAATTTCTCAAACTTAGGGACCACTGACAAGTGAAGTTAGTAGCTACAGTCAAGCTATCCTGATACAACATTTGCATAATTAACTATCAAGGCAGCAAGGATTCTACTCCCATCAACCTCTTTTCACCTTCTCCCTACAGAAAAGGGGAGTTTGTTTTCTTTCTTTCAGAGTATCAACAGAAAAGTTTATAATGAACCATTATGTAATCCCTGAGTAAAAGAAGCATGGGACTATGGGCGTAAAATTTCTATTTTCTTCCCAATGCATAAAACTAATATCTAAATTAAAACTTTGTACCTGTTAATCCTGTTCTAAATGGATCAAGGGTTTTGTGTGTGACTTGAATGTTATATCACATGAAAATAAGCCTATTTAATTTTTATTTCATCTGCTCTGTCATTTTTAATATTAGAACCATCATATTTTTCTTTAAACATCTAAGAGCAAAATCAGCAAATATAAGTTGGAAAAACTTTTTTTTTTAAACTCAATTTCTGAAGTTTATTAACACCTTTACCTCTTTTGTCTCTTCTGGGTCTGAATGATCCACAGTTATATAAAGATCGTTTTGTAAATATTTCAGAGCACTAAGAGGATCCATTTGGGCCTTTTCTTCAAACCTAGAAAATGTAAAAAAAGAATAATAACTGTCTGGAGTTATAAGAAAACATCAGAAATGTCTTTCAGAGCTAGGACACTGTATAGGAGGAGTTATTTGGATATCTAAAAACCCTGCATTTGGGAATCCAGAAATGAGAAGACTGTCACATAGATACTATAAGCTAAGATAAAATCAACGATAAAACAGTAAATATGTCAAATATTTTACATAAACTGGGGGGCGGGGGGAAGCCAAGTATGTTTCATAAAAAACAAATAGAGATAAAATAAAAATATTTTATTAGATTTGTGTAATATCCTTCTCCCCCCTCCCCCCCAATGGAGGTGCTTAACAGATACTTTAGAAATAGAAATGAGTATAGTTTCTTTTAATGAAATATCATTCATACTGATTAGATAATTTTAATAAAATTATTTCCATGCCTTAGTCAGTAATAACAATACCAACAAACTGCAGCAACTTCTCAGGCCTTTGTCATGTGCTAGACACTGTATCAAGCATATATCACCTTGTTTATCCTCACAATAATATATATATATATATATAAAGCCTAAGCAACCGGCCAACCAGCCGACCAGCCGGTAGCTATGATACGCACTGATCACCAAGGGGCAGACGCTCAATGCAGGAGCTGCCGAGCGACAGCAACTTTGCAAAGTGCCCTCTTGCACTCCAGAACCCATAGGGGGTTGTTGGACTGCTGGTTTCGGCCCAATCCCCACAGGCCAGGCCAAGGGACCTCACCCGCTGGAGGGACCCCGCTCACTCTGCAGATAGATGCCCTTCGAGCCCCGCCGCTGCCCCAGGTGCGGCAGGCCAGGGAGGGACCTTGGGAGGTTGGCTCCAGGGCATGTCTGGCCCATTTCACCTAGTCCCGCCCTGCCGACCACCTTCTAATTAATTTCCTTTCAATATGCACGAATCCATGCACCGGGCCTCTAGTAACTCTATGATGACAATAAGTATTATCATTATTTAAAAACAAAACAAAACAAAAAAACAGATGAGAAACTGAGACCTGAGAATAAATTTGGCCAAGATAAGAGCTAGTAAGTGGCAGAAGCAGAATCTAACACAGGACTATCTGATTCCAAGCCTGAAAAGGAAAGAATGAGATCTCTCTTTCTTAAAAAAAATATATTTTGATTTTTTACAGAGAGGAAGGGAGAGGAATAGAGAGTTAGAAACATCGATGGGAGAGAAACATCGATCAGCTGCCTCCTGCACACCTCCTACTGGGGATGTGCCCACAACCAAGATACACGCCCTTGACTGGAATCGAACCTGGGACCTTTCAGTCCAGAGGGCAACGCTCTATCCACTGACCCAAACTGGTTAGGGCATGATCTCTTTAAAAAAAAGTCTGTTTGGGACTATCTATTTAAATAAGATAATGTCCTTTTATTATAGCATAACTATATAAGGATTTACTTATAATAAATTTGTATGCTTTTTAAATGTTCGGAGAGAAAGAAAAGAAGACATTTAATTTCATTTGGAAATTGAAAATAATAAGCTATTCACAATGGTATTCAGGCTGATGGCCTCAATAATTTCCTATCTTTAGAGCTAACCTTAGTGATAGGGTTACCTGTATTTCAGGCAGGGCAAAGACTATCAAAATATTACAGTTCTCTTGTACCAGACAGTACCATGACTGTCAGCTGGCCTTACGAACCTCAGAGGAGAGTTCCTTAGGCAGAGATCATGTTACTCTACCATCTTGTCCACAAGTTAGACCTGAATTTTGGCACCTGAGCCAAAAGCAATCACCTCAAGCTTAAAGAGCAGTTTAAAAGTGGCCTGGCAGAATTATTCCCAATAGGGATACTCTCATAGGGAACTCTCTCTAAGAAGATACTCTCTCTCAGAGAATCAGAATGTGAGATTCACAGGATACTTTATAAAAGGCAGACAAAACAGAAGGTAGTTAACAGCAGACATGAGATAATAGATTCCTTCCCTCCCTACCTATCTACCTACTTATCAACTGAAGTCAAAGAGGTGAGTAGATAGTTATCTATCATCTATCTATCCGTCCGTCCGTCCGTCCATCCATCCATCCATCCATCCATCCATCCATCCATCCATTCATTTACTGAAGCCAGGAGGTTGAGGGGAAGCAGAGTCAGGAGTAATCAGTAGAACAAGAGAAGCAGGGAGAAAGAAGCAGAAAGAGAGAGGCTCAGTTACAAGAAACACTACTCTACTTAGCTACTAGCTACTAGAATTGGTCCAGTGTCCTAAACAATTCTCTCCATATGTTTTAGTGTTCAAATGCTGAGAAACTGCCTTAATTCTCATAATAAATTCTCTTTCAGTGAGGTCTCCTAAGCATGTCTTTCTCCTTTGCAACCTGAAATAACCTAACCAAAACACACCTACCATCCTATTAAATCCAGTAAAGAGATCAATTTTCCTGGAAGTTATGTTTTCTCTCTTCCTTTTCTAAGCTTTTTTTGGCTTGCAAAAATTTATCACTGGGCTTGTGTTTGCAGTCTAGAATTATATTTCAGCCAACAATTCTGCCCTGTAAAAGGAACAGGAATTAACCCTATTAAATTTCTTTTCTTTTGCCCCCTTCTATGCCCCAATTCATAAACAATTTTGGAAACTTGGAAACAGTTTCTCATCTGTTTTTTTGTTTTGTTTTGTTTTTAAATGATGATAATACTTATTGTCATCATAGAGTTACTAGAGGCCCGGTGCATGGATTCGTGCATATTGAAAGGAAATTAATTAGAAGGTGGTCGGCAGGGCGGGACTAGGTGAAATGGGCCAGACATGCCCTGGAGCCATATATATATAAAGTGGCAGCACTTTATTTACTATATTACATGGTACCATTAAGAACCAGGAGACACTTTCTTGGCATACAATATACTTCTCTCCTTCCAAACTTATATTTTATTGAAATAGAAGAAATAGTTGTTTCCCATTAAGAACAACAAAAATAAATAAGCCAGCACAGCAGCACAGGGTAAGCTTTTATATAATGAAAGATCTGGTATCTAATTTAATATAAGATTTGAATTAAAAAGGTAATTTTCATGTTCAACTCAGAAATCAACTTCTATCTATTCCAATGTAATAATGTCCCTCAAACTCCAAGTCATTTTAAGAGGTGGTAGAAAAAAAGAGTCTATTTTTTTCAAATGTCTAAGATGGGCCTTTTATTTTCAGTTCAATTTAGTAGACAAGATTCTTAAGATGCTCTAGCACCGTGGTTGGCAAACTGTGGCTCGCGAGCTACCCTCGGCTCTTTGGCCCCTCGAGTGTGGCTCTTCCTAAGCCTTAGGAGTACCCTAATTAAGTTAATAACAATGTACCTACCTATATAGTTTAAGTTTAAAAAATTTGACTCTCAAAAGAATTTCAATCGTGCTGGCTTATTTATTTTTGTACTGTTGATATTTGGCTCTGCTGACTAATGAGTTTGCCAACCACTGCTCTAGCAGTTACCCTTAACTATTCTTTTTCTCATACCCATATCAAATCCATCGAGAAATTCAGTTGTTGCCACCTTCAAAGTTTATCCGGAATCTTACTGTACTTTCTGGATCTCTTTTATGGAGTATCCCTTCCTCTGCCTTCCCTCAAACAGTGGTGGTCCTCAGATAATGCCCTACATCCCTTTACTTTTCTCACTCTTCCTGAGCAAGCTCCTTTTCCTTACTGATGACTCATTAATGTAATACAGCCCATGCCTTTCCCCCAAATGCTAACAGATGATGTCCAGAACCTAAAGTGCATCAAACTGAACTACATAACTTGCTGTTTCTGAAGTATTCCCCCGAGTAAAAATAGCCACAACCTTTTACCCAGTTCTTCCGGAAGAAAATCCAGAATTCTTTTAAATAAAAGCTAAGTCTGAATGTGTCACTCCTTAACATAAAATCTTTCAATGCTACCCTTTCACTCAGAGTAAAAGCCAAAGGACCTTCACAATCTGACCCCTTTTTTATCTCTTACCTTGTCTCCTACCATAATCACTTCACTTATTCCACTTCTACCACACTGTTCTCAATTTATTTCTCAAATAATCCAGGCATATTTTTAACCTAAGAGCCTTGTCTATTACCTATCTGGAATACTTTCCCCCTCAAATATCTATATGATCCATTCTCTCATGTTCTTTAGGTCTCTACTCAAATGTCTTCTTTACAGTGAGGTCTATCCTAATACTCTTATTTAAAAATCACATCCCCAGCTCCCTCACCTGTACAAAAATAGTTCTTAACTTGATTGAGTTTTTCTCATTAAGACTTACTATCTAAAATATAAATTCCTTATTAAGCTTACTGTTAGCCTCCCTTCATTAAGAAGGAAACTCGAGGCTAGGAATTTTTGTATTCATCACTGACATATCCACAGAACTTAAGACCATATCTAGCACAGTGAAGGTGCTCAATAAATATTTCTTATATGAATAGTTTTATTGATGTTTATAAAAACCCTTAGATCAGTGGTTCTCAACGTGTGGGTCGCGACCCCTTTGGGGGTAAAACGACCCTTTCACAGGGGTCGCCTAAGACCATTGGAAAACACATATATAATTACATATTGTTTTTGTGATTAATCACTATGCTTTAATTATGTTCAATTTGTAACAATGAAATTGGGGGTCACCACAACATGAGGAACTGTATTAAAGGGTCGCGGCATTAGGAAGGTTGAGAACCACTGGTTTAGATGGTTGCTTTGTCCATTTTACACATGAGCAAAGTAATCTCCAGAAAGATTAAGTCAGAAGGCTTGAATATCAATCCAAGGTTCAGGTATAATACTTTTCTAATATAACTATTAGCTACAGAACTAGGGGCAAAGAGTAGTCAAGATCAGAAAAGAAGAGTACTATGGTCCATATTATTATGCTATTATTACTCTACTGAAAATAATATATATAAATGTGTAATCTATATAAAAGGGTCTTTAAACATTCTTATATTCCCCTTCAAGAGCTTTTCTGAAGTTCTGAAATAAGCTAGCACACTTTCTCTCCCATAGTAGAAAATTTCCAATGTTGATTATTTGCCCAACCACACAAACTTACTGCCTTTCAATTTCAGTCATTTTATTTCATGATTTATTCTCATACAACATTTGTTAAGACTATTTCATCATATATTTAAGAGTCTAAATGATTTGTTACTGATTATTCTTTTATTGTTCATCCACTTTCACTCCTCACTCTGCACCTTTACTAGAATTAAGTCACTTGCAATGATGACTGTACTTAAAACTTAAAGCATGCCCTAATACATAATATTTCAGATTCCCAAATTGTCATTTCACCTGCCCACTGATATATTTCTAAAGGAGAAAAACAACTTCCAAAGATAAAAAAGAATAACACTTCTGAGGATGACTGGGCTGTGGGAAGAAGGGCAAACGATAATTTCCCAATTCTACCACTATCCTACAGAATTTTTAGATAGAGGTGCATATAGAAATATATAATATTAACAATATTATTTAACTACAGTAATATTAACTATAGCAAATAAATTGAGAGTAAATATTCTATAAAAGATTAGTTAAGTGAATTAAACATAAAGTAGAATGCTTGCAGCCATTACAATTATGATTTGTATTTGTATTTATTAACATGATAATGTTTATAATACACCATTCACTGAAAGAAATCAGATTCAAAACAATAGTGTGTACATATAATTAGAAGGATATACACCAAAATATTACTCCTGAATGGAGGGATGATAAGTGATTCAATTCTTTTGGTAGAGAGAGAAGACTTATTTTTTTCTTTATTATTACCCATGCAATACTTTTACAATTAAAAGCCAGAGGGAAGTATTTGTGAGTTCCAATTCTTTATATGAAGCATTAAACAATTTCCTTTAATCTCTAATGGACTTTTGGTCAGGAAACTTTTTTAAAAAGCTCACTCTAACATTCCAATGACCAGTTGTTATATTTAAGGTAGAGAAAGAGCTCTATAATTTCCCCATATTCTTATAAAAACAAAGTTTAATATTAAGTATCTTAAGTACATTAAGTACTAAAGAATAAAATTTAGCAATGTAAACATTAGCAAAGGTACCTCAAACTTAAATCTTGTTAATAAAACAGAATTTATTCTTGCCATCCAGACAATGTGAAGAATCAGACCCTTTCTCCTGTAGATTCTATAGAAAATATACTAATCATTCACAGTAAAGCCAAAGAAACAGAACTAGCTTCTGTTATTAATTTATCTCTCAAGTATAACTTGTGAAAAGCAACAATAAGTAAATATAATATGATAAAGGAATAGTCTAATTTATATCTACACAGACTTTCATGTATTTATATTTTATATAAAACATATTATATAATAAACATATAAGCATACGTGTGTATACATACTAGTATATTAATATGTGCCTCTGTGCGTGTGTGTGTGTGTGGTGGTGGTGGTGGTGGTGGAGGTGATGGTGATGAAATGGAGAATTCTGGAATCAGAATACTCAGGATCAAATCCTATCTGTCACTTACGGTTGAGTGACCTTAGATGAGTTATATAACCCATTTCTTCTTTTATAAAAAAGTGATAGCAATAGTTCTTCCTCCATTGGCTTATTGTGAGAATAATATACAAGATCTAGCACACAAAAATTGTTCAATAAATGGTAGCTGTTATCGTCATTAAAGGTTAACTTCTCCTTCCAAACTATAAATATTTATCATCTAACACTATCAGTAACCAAAAGGACAGATACACTTTTCTACATTTTTTTAGTAGCTTATCACCTGCTAGGGCTTTTTAAAAAGCAAACATGACTCAAGAGACATATATGAAAATGTTTAATTACATGATTTTATAATTAATTAGCAAAGGTAATGAAATAAAACCAATTCTATTTAAAGCTGTATTCTGAAACATCAAATTAGAAAGATATTATTAATCAACTATGTCATCACATTCACAGTTAAAGTTATCAACAGGTCAGGCATATGTCAATAATCTAGAACTGATGTAATTTGTAGTGGTTAGGCCTTAAGTTACTTGATGGTAAGTTAATCACCTTCACAGAAACTTTTTCCATTATATTAACAGTTGCAAAATTTCCTTGTTCTATATTTTAAAAATTTAGCATCAGTATCTATTTTCACTTTGTGTCTTCCTTTGAAAGAAGAAACCAAAATCAGGAGAATAACAGGGCACCTATAAAAGTCATGACCTTCACAGTGTTTACACTTTCATGTTACTAACTTTCCAAAGACAAAGGCACATCTCCAGAGCTTAGGTAATACTAAAAATAGCTGATAAAGTTAAATAAAAGTTTTCCATGAATTGTTTTTATACCTGTGTTTTCTTATGAGGTACTTGCAATGCCTCAGTAAGTAATCTTTTGAAGGCCTACACAACTTCAGTGACCAAAAGTCATCTAATCTCATTTTTGGGGAGCAAGATTTTCCTGGATTCCCACCAAATAAGTAATGAACCTGTAATAAACAAAACAAACCAGACTTTTAAAAACACATGCATACTTAAGAAACTATGTTAAGTCATAGTAAAACTTCTTCATTTTGCTAGTACTGTGTTACAGGTACCTTTCTTAGCCTTACTGATATTAAAAAAATCAAAATATTATTGCTTCTCTTGATTTTTCTCAAGTTTCCACTTTACTTTTTAAATTACTGCGACTACTTCCTAAATTACATTTTATATTAAAATAAGTTCTATTACCACAATTACACTGACAATGGAAACATGAAACAAAAGCAATGATAGTGTAAAAATGAATAAAGAAAACCTCAACTAAAACTGAAGTTGGGATAGACTATAGAAGTCAATTACCTATCACTGGAAGTCAAATACCCCATATTGGAAGACATCAATTACATACCCCAACAGGAAGAGAGGCCCTGTCATTCCCAAATAGAAAGCACAACTGCTTTACCACCTCAGCAGGAGGAAGGAAGATTTTTTTTTTGGTCCAGCAAGAAGCCCAGCCAATTGAAACTCCACAGCTCACCCAATGAGAAGCCAGCGTTACCTGAACTCTTTACTTTCCTCCATGAACTTTCATTTCTCTCTTATTGATGACTTACTTGCCTCACCCTCTTTTCTATAAAAGACTTCCATCTTAAAAAGTTTTTTTAAACTTATTTTAGAGACAGGAAGGGGGGGAGGGGGGAGGGGGGGAGGGGGAGGGGGAGGGGGAGGGAGAAATATTGATGTGAGAAACATCAATCAGTTGCCTTCCAAACATGCCCTATGTCTTGATCAGGGATTGAACCTGCCATCTTTTGGTGAGCTAGATGCTCCAACCAACTGAGCCACACTGACCAGGGCAAGAATTAATCCCTCAGAGAATTTCTCTGCTTGCTAGATAAGATGCTGCTGAATTCATAAATGACTTAATAAAACCCAGTGTGACCTTCAAATTTGCTCAGTTATATTTTATTAACAATAGCAAGTAGCTAATCCAATATATAGTTTGAGGGCAATGAATAATGGGGATTATCAAGTTCATCAAGTGTTGATGATAATAAATTATATCTTTAAAAAGGACAGATGACAACCTGGCTGGTGTGCTTCAGTTGGTTGGACATCATCCCAAGCATCAAGAGATCGCTGGTTGGATTCGAGGTTAGGGCACATGCCCTGGTTTCGGGCTTGATCCCCAGTAGGGGGTGTACAGGAGGCAGTCAATCAATGTTACTCTCTCCCTCTTCTCTCTCTAAAATTAATAAAAAACATATTTTAAAAAACTATTAAAGAAAAGATGTCAAATCACTGAAGGTCAACAGCAATTAGAAACTTTTTAAAATTTTAGCATTTTAATTTAGCTTTAGCCTTAAGGTCAAATATTAAACGGCACATATAATTTGTGAAATAACTTTTAAAATATTCCATTACTCAATTAGTACCAAAAAATAAATGTGAAAGGAATGCAATAATAATTTCACTATTATATTATTTAGTTTTAGTGATATTCTGTACTTACACAAAGTGTTAAAAGCATTTTCTGAAATTTTAAAAACATTTATATTTAAGCCCTGGCCAGTGTGTTCAGTGGCTAGTGTTGGCCTTTGCACTGCAGAGTCTTGGGTTTGATTTCTAGTCAAGGGCACATACCTAGGTTGCAGGTTTAATCCCCAGCCCATTGGGGTGCATGCGGGAAGCAACCAATTGATGTGTCTCTCTCACAGTGATGTTACTCATTCTCTCTCTCTCTCTCTCTCTCTCTCTCTCACTCTCTCTCCTTCCCTCCTTCCTTCCTCCCTTCCTCTCTTTCTAAAAATCCATGGAAAAAATATCCTCAAGTGAGGATTCATCAAAAAAATAAATTTAAATTCAATAGTGTAATAGAATTCCAATATTATTTCTATCCTATCCTAAGGATGGAAATTCATTTACCCTTTAATTTGGGAGACACTAAGAGAAAGGGCTTTTATCCACTCCCATGGTATCTTTAACATGAAGGTCTCAAATGATATAAAGTTTAAATATTCATCTGTGACCTAAATGGAAAGAATACAGGTTAGTCAGTAGCTTACTATATAATCTGAGCCCAATCACTAAACTACATGTAAAGCTTAAGGGAGAAATAGTTAAAGAAACCATTCTGAACACTAACTGACACTTAAACTTCAAAATGCCATATTATTTCACAAAACAGATAGAAAAGATGTCACTCATAGATAGGAAAAACAAAAAGATTTCTTACACAATGAAATCTAAAATCAGGAAGTCATATATACCTTTTCATATCATGAAACATGGAACCCACATGCGGAAAACTATACAATAGGCCATGCTATGTATCTGATCTATGAGTTAAGAAGCAGCCACTGACCATAATCAAAAGAGGAAAGTGCCAGGAGTCACCATCTATACAAAAATGTTTATTCTCTTAAGGAATTTTAGGGGAAAATAATATTGAACGCCTGCTATATACTATGTATTATAATTTTTTACTCAAATCTACTTAAAAAATAAAAAACATATATTTTTGGGGATTCTTTCAGATTGTAGGTCATGGAAAATTTACAGGTCAATGAAGTTAGGATACCTTGTGCAACTCATCATATACAAGCTGATGGGCAAATCTTGGACAGGGTTCTTCTTCTTGAAGACTTTTACTTGGATTATCCTTTGCAGCTTGATCATTTTTATAGACACAAGACCTGTAAGACATTGCTTTTAAGGCATGCTATCCTAGAAAATTAGCAGTATACATAATCCTATATCATAAAAGGCTAATATGCAAATCGACTGAACGGTGGAACAACTGGTCACTATGATGTGCACTGACCACCAGGGGAGAGACGCTCAATGCAGGTGGTCAATGTGCTCCCATAGGGGGCACTGCTCAGCCAGAAGCCCTGAGCCAGGCTCATGGCTGGAGAGCACAGTGGCTGTGGCGGGAGCCTCTCCCACCTCTGGCAGCACTAAGGATGTCTGACTGCCAGGTTAGGCCCGCTCCCCAGCTTAGGGCCTAAGCCATCAGTTGGACATCCCTCAAGGGCTCCTGGACTGCGAGAGGGCACAGGCCGGGCTGAGGAACCCCTCTCCCCCAAGTGCATGAATTTCGTGCACCGGGACTCTAGTGTTAATACAGTTGTAGACAGCAAATTAATTGCATGTCTAATTACCAACAAAACAATTATAAATTTGTTTACATCAAATCTTAAAGTTTTGGTCATTCCCATAAAATAATCTGATTTATTAGAACTGAGTTCTTAAGTTCTTTTAATGTCCATCAAAACCTCACTTAAGAACAAACTACCTCATGATATGAAACACAAATAGCATTTATGAAGGTTCAAAACAAAGGCTGAAAGAGCTAAAAACCCGTTTACTATTCACAATAAAACTATAGTACACTTTCATTTTTACTGTAAATAAATGCCGTATTTAGAAAGTAATAAATTCTTTAGTTGTTGAGCACTACCCTCCATTACTGAATGGAAGAAGTTCTCTTAAGTGCTCCTGTTTTGACATCACATATTAACACAAGTCCTCCAGTTCCCTCTTCTTTTGAATATACAACCCCAAGAAATATTAAATTGGAATTGCAGTACAGACAAGAGCTCCTTACCAACTATTCCTCACTATGTCATAAATCCAGAATGAATTTCTGACATTCTCTTCCCTCTTTTCCTTGTCCTTGCTGAGTCCAGATAAGACATGTATTTCATTCAGTTCTGGATCAATGGTTGCTCTCTGTGTGAATCCTGTCATTGGAACTATAAAGTGAAAGAAAACAATAGGATGACAATGTTCACATAGACAGTGTTTCCTTAGATAACAGATTAGTGCTATTCTGTTAAAGATTAATACATCCTTATCGTACTCTGTAGGGTAAGGCCACAACTTATTTTTTAACACACTACATAACTTTTATATTAAACAATAAACAGCCCTGGCCAGTGGCTCGGTTGATTGGAGCATAGTTTGGACCAAAAGGTTGTGTTTTGATTCCAGGTCAGGGCACATATCCAGGATGGGGGTTCTATCCCATGGGGCATGGTTGGAGCAGGTACCAGAGGCAACCAATTGATATTTCTCTCTCACATTGATGTTTCTCTACCTTTCTCTCTCTTAAAAAAAAAAAATCGAGTAAAGAAAAAAAGGTAAAATAAATAAATATAAACAAACAAACAAACAATGGTTTATTGCTTTCTCTCCACTCCAGAATATAGGCTCTACAAGGGCCAAGATTATTTGGTTCACGATTTTGTTCCTAATGGCTGGCATACAATAGTTATCAACTATTTGTTGACAGACTAAATACATGATAACTACCAGAATGGAGCTAAAAAGAGGTAGAAGGAGGTACGCAATGTAATGATTTTGATTGAGAAAAAGGGCAATACTTTAACTGATTTATTATCTGGGTCAGCTCTAATTTAATAATAGAGATAAAATATTCAAATCTTGATTTGGAAAAACAAAATTTGACAAAAACTGAAACAGATTTGTTTAATATGGTCAGAAGCATTTAAAATATTTGTCATGATGTAATATGAAATGACATAATTTCCAAGAAAAAAAATGTTGGTGTATAATACGCCCCAAATATATTTTCCTGAGTAGATCAAACTCCCCAGAGTTAAGGTTTTATTTTTTTTAAGAAATCCATTAAATAAATGATGGTCATTCTGTATTACCCAGAAATTTGTCAAACATTGATATGGCAAATGTAAATTGTTCTAATCACTGTTATTTGGAAATATTAGTTGAAATATAATTTTATATTAAACATAATTGCCATGTATCTAAAACAATGTATCGTTTCAACATTACATTTCTTTCTTTTTTTGTTTTGTTAATCCTCACCAAAGGACATTTTTCCAGTGATTCTCAGAGAGTGAAAGGGGAGGGCAGGGAGAGAGAGAAAGAAAGAGAGGAAGAGAGAGAGAAACATCAATGTGAGAGAGACATATATATTGGTTGCCACCCTCACACACCCCAAGAGGGGCCCAGGATCGAACCTGCAACCCAGGTATATGCCCTTGACCGGAATAAAACCCATGACCCTCTGGTGCCCAGGCTGACGGTCTAACGCCTGAGCCACGCCAGCCAGGGCAACACTACATTTCTTATAGATAAACAATTATCATATGCTCAGAAAGCTAAACAAACATCAAACTAAAGAAAAATATCTCAATCAATTCAGAACAGTACGAGATGCTAGCCATACTGTATTTGTTTTTCCTAGTTTACCTTAAATTCATGTGTCCTCTTACATTGCTATTCAATAAATTTGAGATATTTTAGAGACTATCCAAATGTATTCCACAGTAAGTATATTTAAAGATTATACACACAAAACACAATAATTTGTATGCATCCAAACACAAGTACATTTATATTCATTCAAACAGAGACCTAATCTTAACAAAAACCTCGACCCTCGTGCCATACTCCTTAGTGGTTATGTAAAGTCTGATTTTTCTTAATAAGGCTTGGTAAACTTTCAAAAGTGCCAAAATTTTGACCTCTATTCCAAAATAACCTTGGAAAAAAAGATAAAACTGTAAAGAAATGAAATCACTTTATAAAAATATACATATTTTTATTGATTTCAGAGAGGAAGGGAGAGGGGGAGAGAGAGAGAGAAACATTAATGATGAGAGAGAATCACTGACTGGCTGCCTCTTGCACCCCCCCTACTGGGGATGAGCCTGCAACTCGGGCATGTGCCCTCACTGAGAATCAAACTGCGACCTCCTGATTCAACCACTAAGTCACACCGGCCAGGTGAAAATGAAATAACTTTTTATTAGTGGTGGAAGGGGAGGACATAACTGTCTAAATTTATTGCACTTAAATTTCTTTGTCCCATTTTGTCTTAATACTGAGCCTTAAAATTAAGAAATCAATAATATGGATTGGCAAACTATGGCTTGATCTGATCAGGGTCAAATGAGGCCTCATCAATTCATTTACATTGTGTCTTTGGCTATTTTCACCCTATAGTGTAGCAAGGCTGAGTAGCTGCAACAGAACACTTATGGCTGGCAAAACTCAAAATATAGGTTGGGTGTCCCCAAAAATGTATCTATACTTTAACAGCTGATAACTCAATTTTCACTCCTTTCAGGTTTAACTGATTTGAAATAATGGGTAAAGCCAGACTAAGCTCTGAACAAAGAAAATTTATCCTAATTATCCACTCGACTTTTCTTTTATGGGGATACATAAAAGAAAAAGTTTATAGTACAAAACTGCAAGAGTCAACGAATTGGGGGCACACAAATACCGAAGGAAATGATTCTTGATGTTTGTGATTCCATTGCTTTGTGTTATCAGCAGTGCCTGGACCAGAACGGTCATCAGTTTGAAAACAGGTATTGACAAAAAAATTTACTCATTTCTATAGATTCTTTTAAAATTTGAAAATGAACTATATGTTGGTAAGTACTGACTTTATAATCATTCAAAGTGAGTACACATTTTTGGAGGGACACCCCATACTTACATCTGGTTCATTATAGAAATAGTTTGTTGACCCTTGTTCTATAATCTTTTAAAATGTAAATATCAGAGATTATGAGTTAGAAACTAATGCAACAAACTGCTTACCTTAAATAAGAACCCACTGAGGAAATGGAAATTTTTGAGTGGAATGGAAATCAGTGGAGAAAGATATTTTGAATTCCATAAGTGGGGGTGGAGTCATCAAAGAGAGGGGATTAAAATAGTATTGGGCTGGGGAAGAAATATAAGAACGTAGAAGAATGTAAGACCAAATTGTACATGCTTCCTTTTCCACATGGTCACATTTTGCCTAAAAGCACCTCAGTATCAGAAGAGAAAAATGACAAGGGTCGTTTAAGCAGTGGGCAGGTTTACAATACTCAGGGAGGTAAGACTACCATGTTTATAGAGATATATTTCACTATAAAATTCACCCATTTAAAGTGTACAGCTTGGTGTTTTTTATTATATCCACTGGAAGACCATCATCACAATCTAATTTTAGAACATTTTAATTACTCCAAAAGGAAACCCTATATCCCTTAACAGTCACTCCCCATTCTCCCTTCCCAACTCCTCATGGAATAGGCTGCATCATTTGACACCCCACCGGCGGTGGCCTGGGCCTCCCTCTTTGGGCGATTGATCACAGAACCCCCCATTGATCGCCCTGCAGAGGGTGGCCTGGGCCTCCCTCTGTGAGGTGATTGTGGAACGATGACGGGGCCTCCCGACCAATCACATCGCACCTGCCTTGGCTGGCCTGGCGCCAGTGCATGTGATAGCATGGTTGTCTGGAAGGCCATCTGGATAGTCATTCTGCTGTTTGGTCATTCTGTCTATTTGCATATTACGATTTTATTATTATAGATATCTCCTAGCTTTCTCACGGAGTCTTGCTTCCATATTGGTTTCCAATGTGGCAAATTTCCCGAGACAAATGCTCCTGAAAGTTTTTTATTTTACCCTTACATTTGAAAGTTAGGAGGATATTACTTTCTTGGTTTGGAGTCATTTCCCTTGAGTACCTTTTAACTTAACTGTTTTCTGCCATTCACTTACTGCTGTTGAGCTGATATCTTTCTTGTTCCCTTGCAAGTCATCTGCTCTTCCTTTCTGAATTCTTTAAAAATTTTCCCTTTGTCTTTGATATTCTTAATTTTCCTTTAATATGTCTAGGAATGTGTTTCCCCTTATTTTTCCTGTTTGGCACGTTACAATCCCTTTCACCAATCTGAGGAGTTTCATCTTTCCTGAATTCTAAAAAATTTATCTCCATTATTTCTTCAATTATTCCCAACTTCTTAAATTTCTATTTTTCTCTCCTTTTGGAACTGCTGTTAAGATGTCGGTACCTGTGCAATTCTTCTCCATACCCTTTGGCTTTTCTTTTATATTTCTATCTCTTTACCTTTTCTTTTCTGTTTCCTCCTAGAAGAATATTCATTCTAATCTTTCAACTAATTAATTATTAATTCATATCCATCACATTTATAATATTTGTTGCATTCTTCATTTCAAATATATATTTCCTATCTAATATTTCTATTTGGTTCTGTTTTTATATTATATGTTATTGATATTACAAATGGGATCTCATATCTTTAAATACATTGATCATGCTTGTTTTAAAATTCTTGGTTCATCTATCATAATAGATCATATATATTGTCTTATTGATTTCTAAACTGTCTAGTTACATTGGTCTGTGAAGTAATGCTTTTCAGGGTACCAGCTATTTTTCTGTTAAAGAAAAATGTATTAGGAGGGACCAAAGGCCAGGCCTTAGCTAGTATCAGCAGCAGTGAGTTTAAGAAAAATGAAGGAAGAGCCACACGGTAGCAAAGCCTAGGCACAAAGAACAAATTTATCACTTCCATTTACTGTGATCTCCTCCCCTCTCCCCCATCTACTCCATACAAGGGTTTCACACCATTTCATACCTTTAAACTCTGGGGGGAAGTAAAAGGCAGTCTCCCTTGACTAGAAGGGCATGGGAAGGGAGAAATGGATTACTGAGAATGGATGGTTATGAGGCAGGATAGTAAGAAGCTAGAAAAATTCCTTGTCAAGTGGAATGGGGAAACTGAGACAGATACTTAAAAGACTAAGCAATTTATAGCCTGATAATAAATCACAAGGTCTTACCTTTCCTAACCAAGGACACTTAGGATCAAATGGCTTATACATTCCAGATCAGTGCAGGGGCAGACCTGCCTTAGTCTGGTCCCACTTCAGTGACATTTTTTAAAGGGGAAACAGA